AGAGCAGCACAGTTCTGTGATCACAGAGTCCATCATTGTAAATGCCGCAGCCATTGTATCCTTCCAAGTGGCAGACAGGTCAACTCCAATGTGTTGTTCCCCTGCGTGGGAAAACTCAAAGCCGACGTATTTTTGGAAAAACTCTTTGAATCCATGTAATTAAAATCAGCAGCCCCAGTGAGGAATCTGTCATGGATGTGCTGTCTATTGTTCATTGATAGTCTGGTAGATAGAGTGCACGCAGAGCCTTGCCTCTTGGGTTACTGTTTAGTGTGGTAGGAATGTGTGCGACAGACAGCAAGTTAGTTTAAAATTTTCATGACAGATTTTGTTGACAGAGTTCGTTTACAACAACGGCCTTCTTACACGTAAACATAGCCTGTGGATTTATTTCCTTTGACGAGAGCTCTGTCGCCATGGTAGCTTGTTAGCTGGTTGAGCTGAATGGCCGGGTCTCATATGTTGTCACTGAGCCAAGTTCCTTTGGAAACCACATCTTCATGTGTGCTAACAATTAACCCAGTTTGGACATCACCCTGCTTACTGGTTTGTATGGTGAAGTGAGCTGGAAGTGGCAGAGATTTTGATCAGGATGAACAGGTTACTAATGTTAAGATCGAAGAAATTGATTGGCTGATTGAGCCTTATGGAAGAAGCAGAGTTTAGTTGTTTGGAAATGGGAAAAAGAGTCATTAATGTAAGAAGAACTGTGTGGAGGCACAATAATGGGATGGGAAGGTGGTGATTAGCTTCTGCTAAACCTCCATCCAGAAATATCCATGTGGGCTTGTGTTGCACACAAAAATCTACACCACTCCCCCCTGAACACACCCACAACATAGCAGACTTGAGCAGTAAGGCCTGACCAACACTTCCTTCAAACTGGCTGCTCCTCTGCAAAATCAAAACTGTGAAATATACACCTGCATCATGGTATAATTTGATATAACTGAATATTTTAATTGAGAAACAGTGTTGTAAGGATTTAATAACATTAAATGCATTCATCTGTTGTCTATTGTAGTGCTTTGGCCCAGAGGCAATGTCTCTGTCATTGGTATGGACCCCCAGGGTTCACCTCCTGGGTTAGTTCGAATCCCGGTTAGGGCGGTTGGTACCTTCCAGTGGACTCACCACCTGCAGGAAGGTTCAGGGGGGTTGGTACGGTGCAGTGTGATTTGGGTGGTGACTGCTGCCCCCGCAACCCGGTAACGGATAAGCGGATGAAAATGGATGGATGGATGGATCCGTTGTCTACTTAAAATGTACTTGTCTGACCATGTCATTCCACACCTGTCCACTTACTGTCGCTATTGAGTTTCTACACCTCAGCTAGTCTACTGCAGTGTCCACACAACAATCTGCTGTTCTTCTCCTCCTCGAAGCCCTTTAGAAACTCAAGCTTTGTGAGTTAAACTTTAAAGCTGGTTGTCGTTAGCAAATAACCTGTAAGAATTTACCACAGGCGATAGATCCAGTTTTCTGTCTTTATTTACATATTTTGATTCAAACATATTAAAAGCTAAACAAATACATAATTATTCTTAAATTATTATTGTATATATAATTAAACATAAATTAAATGTTTTATATAAATATAGTCAAATCAAGAATAAAACAATTTTTTAGGTTGTTACATTGTGTTGTTTATTCCACTTTAAAATCAATTATTATCTAAACATAACAGCTGAAGTCTTACAGATGCTGAATATTCGGTGTTGTAGTTTATTTCCCATATCCCAAAAAAAATCCCATGACATGGAAATTTAATGTTATACTTTTGATCTATCTATCTATCTATCTATCTATCTATCTATCTATCTATCTATCTATCTATCTATCTATCTAATATATAGACATACAGTATATAGACATATATATACTGTATATATGTATGTAAATGTATATATGCAATTCATTAGGAATCAGCCAGTGATTTTCTTGTTATTGATTTCAGCGTGTCAGTAGAATGAGGTCAGTTCTGATGTTTTCCAAGTGCTATCAGGGCAGATATCCAGTTCAAACCTGTTACTCTTGTGTGTGTGTGTTAGAGGCAGCTGTGGTGCAATAAAAGGCTCAAAGGACTTATTTTAAGATAAATGTGTTTGTGTCCAATTTTGAGACCACCGACGGGGTATACATTTATATTAAATCCTTTCTTTTAAATATCATGACACATGGGGCAAATTGAAAACAACAACAACCCCAAAACAATCTATGTATGAAAGACATTTGTCAGAATAAAGCAATTGTTTTCTGACTTTTTATTCTCAATTGTATTTCTCAAATACTAAAAATTAATTATGAGGCAATGACTTTTATTCCGAATATAACAACTTTATTCTCATAAATATACATTTTTGTATTTTTTTATATTATTATAACCATATTTTTATTCATTTAAAAAGTGTTATCCTTCACTTAAACGTAGAATGCTCTTTCTTGTAATATTACAGGTTAATTAGCATAAATGTATGTCATGTTTAGTCTCATAACTCTTAACGCCCCCTCAACTCCTTAAATCGCGACTGCATTCTTATAATTTTTACAATTTGTTTGCCATAAAGAAACAACCTTCTCAGATAAACCACTAACATAGTTATCAATAAATAAATGTGGCCTTTCCTCCCATTAGCCTCATGCTAACTCTGTTTAGCGCCACACCTGGTTCGCCCCAGAACCTTCGCACGGCCCTGTGCTGCGGCGGACCCACCTCCGGACCCTGCGGTCCTGAAAGCGTTAATTTGTTCGGGGGTTGCTCGGGGTAAAGTTTCTTTCTGTGAACCGGTGGGCGGGTCAACGCTGCTGCGCGAAAGGAGAGGATTAGTTCAACCACACGAGAGAGATGTCCATGCTTTGAGCTACACCTGCAGCGCGTGTGTATGTGTGTTTTTATAATCATTTCTCAGTCATGTCTCGCATATTAAACGTCATCAAAATCCAGCTGCGAAGAGGAGGGAGCGCTGGACTTCCTCTGAGGACCATCTCCTGCACTTCAGCAACACGCGCTGAAAAAAGGTTTGAACGTTCACTTTTGTGCACATGACAGCTCGTCGTTCTTACATCCAGACATATGGTATGGAGGCTGCCCCGAAATGAACTATTATGATGAGAATTCCAATGCGGAAGTGTGCTGGCATCCATGAAGTTGGGGCTTGTTTTCAGTAGTAACCGCGAACATGTCGACACTTGTTTTTTTTTTATTGTTTTTTTTTTTTTTTTAGTAAACACAGCTGAGTGCACGGGGCTACTGTTATATATATACATACACATGTGCCGGAGAGCATTTTAAATTAGCTTTAAGGATCATATTTTGCTAGAATAAAATTAGTAATGACCATCAGCATTACCACTTTTGTTCAATTATTTGATTATTAGAAAGTTCTACTATTTTTTTTAACTAGCTAGGCACACTCCATAATTTTAGTCATGGTGAGTTAATTTGGAAAGATAAACCATTGATCCATATCAATTTTATTAAAAACTTTTGGATTTGCAAAATGTCAAAAAGTTAAATTAAAATGTAATCCATTACTGTAACAGTTTTTAAAGTAATCCCCTTCAACTGTCCTTTCTTTGTTCCTTCTCCTCTTCAGGGGTGAATCTTCAGTTCTGGGAAAACGATGGAAGGACACGGCAAACACGGTCATCATCGGCGGTGGATGTGTGGGGGTCAGCTTGGCCTATCACCTGGCCAAAGCTGGCATGAAAGATGTGGTGCTGCTGGAAAAGTCTGAGCTGACCGCTGGATCCACCTGGCATGCCGTACGTCAACAAAAATCTGCTTTCTCATTTGTAAATGCACAGCGTTGGTTTAAATTGGATACGCTGTTAGGGTTATTTATTGATTTTTCTTCATTTTCTTTATAACAAAATTGAGCTAAAGTTGGTTTAAATTGGATATGCTGTTAGGGTTATTTATTGATATCAATTTATGCTGAAACATTTCAATGTTGACTAAAAAAAGAGACAGAAGACCATGACATCCCTGAGCATTGATTTTGAATATATCTGTTTACTCCAGAATTATTAATCTAATGTGTCAGATGGTAACAAGGCTGGAACAGAAAATTGATTAGATAAACAGGACACATTTGAGGTCAAATGAAAGTACCGTCGACTTACTGTAATACTTGATGTAACTAAAATGTAGGTTAACATTTTTACAGCTTCATGTTTAATTTCATAGATTCATGATTTTTGCCAATAGAATTAACTTGAATTTCTGGGGCAGAGTCATGTCGTTGATAAAACCCATTCAGTGTGATAATTGGGCATGTATTAATATGAGCAGACCAATGTTGTCCCTATAAGTTCTATTAGTAAACTAGAGCACCAGTTGCTCTTCCTCAGCTCTGACCTTATGTAAGGTACAGTATTCGTTTGTGTCAGTGACTCCTGGCTTCTGTTACATTATCAGTGGTAGCATTGAGGTCAAACTGCTGTCCTGTCCATGCCGTCCAGCTTTAGCATTCGGTCACAGTCTTTACTGTGTTGCTGGTTGTGATTTGGACTGGTCTCTTTTAAACATCAAAACTAAAAACTACGTGCAATTGTGAGTTGGGGCATTCTGATCTGCTTTCACAATCGTAATATCACTTAAACAGGAATCAATTATAGAGCCGGATCAATGAGGTCACAATCTAACAACAATGATCTTCAGTTGTTTTAATTAAGTGTGACATAATAAACCACAAAGAAGGCAGAATCTAAAATGTTATCAAATATCTTGACAGATTTTACTTTAAGACATATGACACACACAGAAGATTTAAATGATGTCATGGACATTTAATAATTGATCTATTTTAATATATAGCTATCACTTTTTTTTTCATAAAACTAAAAACAAATTGTTGTTTAAATGAGTCTTTGCAACCCACGCAGGCTGCCACAGGAGGCGCCATTAAGTAAGTGGGTCCTCTGGGCTCAATCCCAGGACCTTCTGAGTGTAGATGTGTAAGGCAGGCATGATAACCGTGACACTACAACACCACCTATCAGAGTATGTTGCATGCTTCTAGATTCAAATCCATGACCCGACTAAGAGTAGCTGAACATATAAGTCTAGAAATAATAAACTCTTTGGTTGAAATCTTTAATGTAGATAATGCTGAAGAATGCATGCGCTAACAAACCAAATGATAATGGAGAAAGTCAGTTATTGCAACAAAGATGAGACAGTGTGCAGCAACATGCCTGAAGGTTGTCTGTAAAGACTCTCATTCGTCCAGGTCATGTTATCCAAAGAGAGTTGAAATTCCTCAGTTGAGGAACGAAACACCTTTCAAGCTCCAAGGAGTCCAGTTGCTGACAACTAAACTCTATGGATGTCTACAAGGTCGTCCAGGTTAATGTATTTTTAAGAAGTAGGAAAAAACTGGACTAGATTAGGTAATAGCATAAGCTTATTATATCTGCCTGTCAGCTAGCATAATTTTAGTAGCTCAAGTTATGCTTTAGAAGTCGCACATTGTTTTTTGTCAAAAGAGTTCCTTAGATTAAACGTAGACCTGACCTGGTCCTTCTTACTGAAGCAGAAACAGACATTTTCTTTATAACAAAATTGAGCTAAAAGAGCAGTGAGAACTTTCTTTATTAACCACTGTGTGTATGTGTGTGTTTCTTAACTTCTTAGGCTGGTCTAACAACATACTACCATCCTGGTATTAACCTTAAGAAAGTCCACTATGACAGCATCAAACTATACGAGTCTCTGGAGGCTGAAACTGGCCAGGTGAGTGGAATTACTCATTTGTTGTACCTTATGTGTGTTTACGTGTTTGTTTGTTTTTTAATGAACTTCATTTACTGATTGTCCTCATTTGCAGGCGGTGGGCTTTCACCAGCCTGGCAGTGTCAGAATTGCCTCCACACCAGCTCGAGTGGATGAGATGCGGTACCAAATGACCCGCACGCACTGGCACGTGACGCAACAGTACTTTATTGAACCTGAGAAAGTCCAGGAACTCTTTCCGTTACTTAACATGGACAAGGTCTGAATAGTAGTAATAGTTTGATTCTTAAACTGGGGCACCTGAAAAGTAGAGTAAAACTTCGTTAGTATCCAAACTTGAATCTAAACACATTTAAATGAAGAAAAGTAAGAAACTAGAATTTCTGTATCTCTGAACCGTTGTTACATTACACCATGTTGTACTGTCATTTTATAGGCCCGTTTTAAAAGACGTGCGATTGGCAAATGCAGATTGACAGTAACCTATTTATTCATTAGCTATTTACAAAAACAAGTAGTAGTTTTCATTCATTTTTATTCAAATGCAACCTCGTGAAGTTTAGGATTTTAGTGTAGTCTAGCTGTATCTTATCGTTGTGCTTCCTACTCTGATCATTTTCATTATCGTATCAGGTGTTGGCAGGTCTGTACACTCCAGGCGACGGTCACATCGATCCTTACTCACTGACCATGGCTCTGGCTGCTGGGGCCCGCATGTACGGAGCTCAGATCTACAACCCGGCTCCGGTCAATGGTCTCAGACCCACTGCTGATGGCAAATGGGACGTGGACACCCCACACGGAACGATCCGCGCCAATAGAATCGTCAACAGTGCAGGTTTGTGCATATTAGACACTGGAATCTATGATACACAAATATACACAATGACCAAGGCTACCTACTGACCAAGGCTACCTACTGACCAAGGCTACCTACTGACCAAGGGTACCTACTGACCAATTGTACCTACTGACCAAGGGTACCTACTGACCAAGGGTACCTACTGACCAAGGGTACCTACTGACCAAGGGTACCTACTGACCAAGGGTACCTACTGACCAAGGGTACCTACTCCAGAGTACTTGTAAGCTTTAGGAAACATTCACCAGCAGTGTAGCAGAAAAGGTGTTTTTTTTTATTTTATTTTTTTATTTAAAAATGTAGGCCATGCAACAAAAAAGGCCGGGCCACAGCTGTATAGAAACATGTTATCTGGTTGTTATACAGCAGGAGACCTTTGACCAAACAGACCACTGCTTGCAGTTCAGAGAAGAGCACTAGTGGCTTGAACCGGGTCGTACCAGTTCCGGCGGGAATCTGTCGGCAGTAACCGGCTCTACTCACTCCTGCTGCTGCTTGTTTATCTGGCACAGTTCAAGTATTTGGACAGGTCTCTGCTCCCCACAGTGGATGAGGCATATCGGTATACAACACATATCGGTATACAACACATATCGGTATACATACGGTGTCATGCAGTTTTTGGATCAGTCGCATGCAATATTCACTTGGCCTAAAAAGAGTTTCAAAACGGATATAAAATGCACGAAAGTCAAATTTGAAAAGACTTTGTCCACAGACATGTCAACACACAGTTATCGAAGTATATGTTTCACTAGTTTGAAACACTTATTAACTGATAGTCACCCTAAAATGAGCACATTATAAATGATCTCTATTTATTATACACTGGCTGAATGTCCCGGTGCTTTGAATGGCTGCCTCTGGAGTGGGATGAGTTCAAAATCCCAGCCGTTAAAAACAGCACCAACAGCCTCTCTGCTTACGACTCAGTAAAGAGAGAGGGTGGGGGTATTTGAAGTGGGGTAACTTGAAGTAAGCACATTCCTGGACTGGGTGACCCATTCATGCAACCAACTGTGTCTTTATCCCTGAGTTCTATGTTGTCGTGTATCTCACGTTGGTGCGGTAGTGTCAGAAAGGTTGTCAGGTGGAAAAACTCTCAAATCACTGCATGGACTGGTACTGTTGTGTACTCTCTCAGCAGAGAGCGAGACGTGAAATGGACATTTTCTACTCCAGTGGTGTCCACACTTTTTTGGCTTGGGAGGTACTATTCAAATGACCAGGCTAAAATGGTCAAAAATTGAAAACATTAAATATATATTTACTCAGATAAACTGAACATAATCTGTATATACAATATATGTTGGGGTACTGACTAAATGCATATAGCTTTAATATTTAATTTTGTGATTATAGTCCGGAAAATACGGTAATTGTGTTCTCAAAACCATCACAGTATTTTTAAATTTTTCTCTTTAAAAGCAGAGCACTGTTTCCAAACTGATGTTTATATATTTAGTCGATATTATATTTAGTCGACACGATATTTAGTCGTGTCCTTACAATCTGTATAAAAGAAGTTGTTGTGACTTGGACAGATTTTTAATGGCCGAACTGAGCTCGACCTAAACTGTCCTGTCAGGTGGACTGTCTCTCAGCTGTCTCTCAGAGAGTTCCTATCAAAGTCTTTGACATATCCCTTCTCCTTTTGCAAATTCTGTTCTCTGGTTCAAACCAGTGTGTGTTGTGGAGATTGGCTGCCAGCCAGACGGTCCCATTCTGTCCAATCTTGCGGCTGAAGATCAGGCACGCCTCCCGACAGTTGGCTGCAGATTTTCACTGCTGTGCTGCACCTTCTGTTGTCTGTGCAGGAACTTGAACAGTTTGTTTGACTTTATAAGACACATGTTATTATAGTTTGCAAGCATTTTCAACAAAACTATATATATATCTGAGGCAGCTAAGACGTGTATAACCCAGTGTGATAGTTGGTAATGCTGCGTTTAATATTTTTGAGTTTCCTTCATTGTGGGTTTTATGTCTGTGAACCTTTCCAGCTTTTCTGGGCTTCAGCGGTAAAGCAACAGATTTTTATCATACTGTGTGTTGCAAACAGACCAAATCCCCAGTGAGAGCAGTTCTTGTTTTCACATATGCTGCTGAAAACCCATATAACCCACAGGCAGCTCTTTATGGAGTTGCGTAACGTCAACTATCTTCAGCTGCAGTTCATTACTGCAGCTGAAGACCCACTTGTTTGTGCCACAGTTTCTTATGGAGCCTTATTCTGATCACTGTTTTTATTTAGTCCTAATATGTCAATGAAGCACAACCTGTTGGTGGTTGCTTTCCTATAAGGCAGTTTGCCCTGACCTGACAGCCTTAATAAAAGTCAGAGGTCATAGTCCTTGGTATGTGAACCCTAAGGTCCAATTTCAACACATCCACTTCCTGCCCAGGAGTAGTTAAAGGATTTTGTTTGTTTACTGTGTATAAAAAGTCTTCATACGGTTACACCGCAGTAGATCATTTCAGAGGATAACATCTACTTCCTGTTGCCTTTCAATAACAAATGACAGAAAATTATGCCGCTCTTCACTCTTAATTCTTCTCACCAACGGCTGCAACCTACACATTTTCAAAAGCTACAAAAAATATTCGTTAGGCCCTCGGGACAATGACTTTAAAAGTGTCGTCTGCCTGGGCGTCTCGGAAAAGACAGAAGAGAGAAAAAAGCAAATTTACTATTTGTATTTAATTTTTATAACCATTTTTCCTGAAATGAACAAATGCGTAAACTGCCGTAAGTGTTTGATTCTCAAGTTTCCAATGGTACTTGAACGCGCCTTGTGTGACAGCTGCAGCTTCGGTATGCCGACGTCCCAGTCTGTGTAGACCTGACGGTTTATTATTTCAGTGGTGCTGAAAACATGTTGATTAATAATTTCCTTATGCTAAACTAATGTAATAATTATAGTGAATAGTCAATAAAATAAGAAAATGTGATGTTTTAATGCATTGTCTTCGGGTTTGCAAAAGGGGTCCTCAGCCAGAAGCTCATCCTGTCTGGGCGGCCTTGACGTAGAAATGTTTGTGAACTTTTTGAGCTTTACTGCAACAAATGGTTTGCATCCATTTAGTGATATCGTTCTTGAAAACTGGAATTATACTTTATAGCCTTTGCAGTAAACATTGGTTCGGCCTGGAAGTACGTCAAGTTAGTGAGTCTGCGTCGGTGTGCCCTCAGTGAACTGTCCCTGTGTAGCCCAGTAAATGGGCCCAGTCTTCAGGCAGCTCATAAACAGGCCTCTCTGTGCAGCTTAACTGCTGGTCTTTATCAGGACGTGGTGTTTGTGGACCACCGCTTCATCCTTCACACTGGGAACATGTTCACACTCTGAGTTCAACGTGAAGCAGACCTTCATTTAAAACAAGGATGGATTTGTGGAACCCTCTTATGTCACACGTACTGTAATGACAGTGGAGCAGCCTCGGCTGGTCACAGGTGAGGATGTGGACATAGTCTGTGTTTATTTCTACTCCGTCTGTAAGTCTATATGTAGCTAATACATACAGTACAGACCTGTTAGTCTGTACATGAACAAGTGTTATTTGTGCTGTGGTCAGTGGTGTACTAGCAGAAATAGAACCATGTCTGGCAAATGACGTACTTACGTGTATATGTACTATATAACGTGCATGTATATATTTTATTTTAGTACATTATCCTTAATTGTTTGTGAACTGGTCGTCACATTGTAGCCCATCCCTGATGTCGCGGCTACTGATTTGTCGTGTACTTTTACAAGCATTGATTTGTTATGGAAGTACAGTTTTCATTATTCTGTCTCTGACTTTATAATTCATCCTATTATCCAAGTGTATCCTTATTTATTTGTGTGATTTGATTTTAATCTATGTAACAGGGCACGTACATATTTTAACCTGCAACTCCAGTTTTCACTACTACTTAGCTTTTCTGTTTCGTTCTTAGCATCTTTAGCTTTTCTGTCTGTTTTTCTGCTGCTGAAAACCCACAAGGATCTGAAAGTCAACTGTATTAGTCAAGTTATCACGTCGTTGGTATCAATATGCAAGTCCTTCTGCTCCTGTAACCCAGAGGCCAGATATGGTCTCATTCCCTGAGTCAACATAATTTCCTGTGTGCTCACAAGCAAATGAAATACATACAGATGTATGCCTTCGTATTGTAGCTGCAGGAAAATTGGTGGAGCATCTGGAGTTACTGCAAGGAAGTCAAACATTTAGTTGCAGTTTATTTTTTACATAATACTGTGCGTGTACTTTTATTAATAAACTGTAGATATTGGATGGAAGGGATACGTGTACTTTCCTGTGCTTTTAGTCTATCTTTGATGCTAAAGAAGTTTGAACAAAATGGTTCTTGTGTTGCTACATAATTGTTTTACCTTGGAATACTCTTGTTCTTGTTACTGTGCTGCAATCATGTATTCTATTGTATTGCCTATCTATTCTGAATTTATAAAAAAAATATATATATACATATTGTTTTTTTTAATTCTAGGATTCTGGGCCAGGGAAGTGGGACAGATGATTGGGTTCGACCACCCGACCATACCAGTGCACCATCAATACGTAGTGACAGCGACCGTCCCAGAGGTGAAGGCTCTGAAAAAGGAGCTGGCCGTCATCAGAGACCTGGAGGGGTCGTACTACCTGCGTCAGGAGAGAGACGGCCTCCTGTTTGGACCCTATGAGAAGATGGAAAAGATGGTGCTGCAGGACTCCTGGGTCAGAGACGGCGTCCCTCCAGGTTCGTCTGCCACGGGTAGAGTCAGTAGTTCGATGTCACCCGGAGGTTACACTCTGTCTGTCTGCCCTGTCTCCACTTTGGCTGCTGCAGGTTTTGGAAAAGAGCTTTTTGAGTCAGACCTGGACAGGATCATGGAGCATGTGGAGATGGCCATGGAGACTGTTCCTGTGCTGAAAAAAGCCGACATCATCAATATCGTGTCTGGACCAATCACTTACACCCCTGACCTGCTGCCCATGGTGGGACCACACCAGGGGGTTCGCAACTATTGGAATGCCATTGGCTTTGGGTCTGTATCATGTTTTACACCTGTGCTCATGTAGACTCATTTAAATGATCTTTTCCTCTGATGTCTCGTCATTACATGGCCATGGACAGATGTCCTGTAACGTCGTAGGACGACAAAGTTTTGCATATTTGGTTTTATTGCCATCAGTTATAAACTGGGAGGATTCAGGGACAGGGACATTTTTCTACCCAGAAGGCCTCGTCATCTTTGGGAGATTAGTTCACTGCATGTTGAACAGCCCTTGAACAGAAACTCAAAATGACCTACCCAACAGAACAAAAGTCATTCTTCAGTGTTGTTTTCTCTAAAGCTTCATATTTAAAATGGCTTTAGTCACCCATCAAATATTCACCCATCATGCACCAGCACACACACACATGCCTTTCACAAAATGATCAGATTCCAAAAAGCCTTTTCATACCAACATCCAAAAATGTGTTCCGGGACACAGTCGTACCTAAAAGGTGTACGTCTGATACTAGAGGATCAAATGTTTTCTCTTAGAAACCTGGAAAACCTGGAACTAACTATGATAAGTTAGTCACGTAGTTGTTGATAAAATCCTTATTTTGTACTAGAAATCCAATACCAATACTGCAACTTTGAGTATCTGCAGATACTGATATTAATCCGATACATTCTTTTCTCCTCCAGCTTGCCGAGGGCTGGAGGGATAGTATCGCACCGATACTATTCCTAATTTGAACCCTTTTAACAGATCATTTACTATGTACTTTCAGTACTACAAGCAATCCTTATGTAGTTCTATTACTATCACTGCTCCCTGTCCTGTTTAAGTCAAATAATCAATGCATAGTCAGGATATAAACGTGTTGTGTCTGTGCTCAGGTATGGGGTCATTCATGCTGGTGGTATTGGGAAGTTCCTCAGTGACTGGATAGTGAATGGTGAGCCTCCCTACGACCTCATCGAGTGTGACCCTAACCGCTACGGCAACTGGACAGACGTGCCGTTCCTGTGTGCCAAAGCCCGAGAGTCTTACGGCTTCAATAACGTCGGTGAGTTCGAGGTGAGACTAACCTAACGATGACCGTGCTGTTGTATTTGTACCTAACTGCCACCAAACCCTCGGCTGTCCTGCAGTTGGTTACCCCAAGGAGGAGCGGTTCGCTGGGCGACCAACCGTACGAACAAGCGGTGTTTACGAACTGCTGAAGGGCAAAGGATCCATGGGCTTTCACGCTGGATGGGAACAGCCTCACTGGTTCTACAAACCTGGAGATGACACCGGTTACAAGTAATAATTTTGTTAACGAAAAAGTATTGAGCTAAGTCAAAAAGTTCAACGTTCAAAAATGATGTTAACTCCGTCATAATCAGTTATATTGATCAAATCTTTTCTAAAGCTTGCTATCTGGCTCCGTCTTAAGACGAGGCAAAGACGGGGATTGAAACATAATGTCAAAGAGTTTCATAAAGGAGGAGTTCTCTCATGGAGACACCACCTGCCAAAACATTTTTAGATTTAAATGTAGGAAATGTATAGAAATAACTATAGCCAACAACCAACAGGGATTGGTGTTGTTAACAGCAGAGACTGTGTGTGATTGTTTCATACCAACACGGTAAGACTCTAAATATGTCAAAGCCAAGCAACGATTGAAACAAGATGTTTTGTCTCTGTATGCTCCTCAAGTCAGCTGGCTCATCCCTGCCTTAGAGCAACAGCAGCTGTGCCAATCTTTTTTATAAAGTGGTTTGAGAGCAGGATTTTACAGTGGGATTGAACATGAATCCAAAGCTATAAAAAAAACCGCCGTGGTGGAGATCAGTGGAAACCCTGTATGCATGTGTACTGTATGTTGTATAAATGCTAGAGGCAGAAATGCCACAATGCATGTGAAAAAAACTAAAAGGATTCAGAAAAGTAAAAACACGTGTTAGGCACGATGTTAGCTCGTCGTTGTAGCTCAGTACATGTGACAGTGTGGTTTTTAACATGATTTTTAAAAATTTGGCCAGAGGTTTTACACCGGATGCCCTTCCTGGCAGTGTGGTTTTTAACATGATTTCTATAGGTCAACTGTTGTATATGTATATGTGTATATATGTATATGTGTATATATGTATATATATTTGTGATATATTTGTGATACACATATTTGATTTGGCTAGAGGTCGCTTGTGTGCCCTAGTGGCTGGTTTATGTATATATATATATATATATATACATACATATATATATATATACAGATATATACATACATATATATATATATACACATATATACATACATATATATATATATATATACATACACACACACATATATATATATATACATATATACATACATATATGCACATATATATATATATATATACATACATATATATATATATATACACACACACAAACACATATCTAAGGTACAGCAGACAGTATCCACTCAAAAAGTGCCTAAAACAAATTTATATCCTTCTTGTGCTCAGGCCCAGCTTCCGTCGCACCAACTGGTTTGAACCCGTTGGCAGAGAGTGCAAGCTGGTGATGGAGAAGGTGGGAGTGATCGACCTGACGCCTTTCGGCAAGTTCATGGTGAAGGGAAAGGACTCCCACAAGCTGCTGGATCGGCTGTTCGCTAACAGCATGCCTAAGGTAGAGCTTCAGTCTTCTTCTACTCTTCAGCTTTTGAAGTTGACCCCTGGATAAAACAGAGGGCGGAGCCTTTTAAGTAAGATGTTTCTACGTAAAAAAAAACACTTTTTTTGGGCTAATTTTATGACGAAATGTATTCATCACAAGTAATTACATCAGATAGGGGAACTAGCTTGACAACACAAAACACACAAGCATCCTTTGTTTCAACATGAATAGTTCCACTGAGATTCAAACCTTTTTTGTAATGGAGTTAAAACACATGTGCATTCAGTACTCAAATATTCCTTAATTCTACTTTTATATATTCCATACTATATTCATGAACTTGTTTGAGGCCAGTCTATCTCTTAGTTTTAAATAATTATTCAGTATTGCAGTCATATCCAGCAGATACTTTTTAGATACTACTTTCAAACTTTTTCTTCGAATACTATGGCAAAACAGATTACCATGGTATTCACAAAAGAAAAGAAAAAAAAATAAAACCATGGCATATTTGTTACAGGCCAAGTGCTGTATTTTCTAATACAGGAGCGCTTACTTTTTGAAAGTTTGTTCATAAAGTTAGCTGTTTGCCCCAATATATATATATATAAATATATAGATACACAAAAACAACAGCACTATGGGGGTGTGGCTTTCTGCATATGATACCTTTAATATGGTCCATAGAAGCTGACGATGAGCTGCTACTGATACATGGTTTGACTTTATGTTCAAGAAATTCTGTAATTAGTATTACATCACCAGTAAGTGTTCCCATCATGCTTTATTACATTTAAAATGTCTGATAAAGAACTGCCTTACCAAAACACACGAGCTAGATACTGACACCTACTTCCACGATTACCAGGGACATATCTGCCAAATGAGTTCTAGGGCCGACCAGTCTGATCCAGATCAAAGCAGCTGCAGACCTATGTAAACTGAGCAGAACACTTGGAGAAGCTGCACATGCTCCTATCAATCACAGCCTGGCAGATAACCACTTCTTGCACCCACACCTGTCAGCCTGTCTGTGTTCAGTTTTCCGTGTTGTATGTATATCTATATATATGTGTGTGCGCGAGTGTGTGTTGTGTGACCAAATATTCATTAGAAACATTTTTTTTTTGTGCAGCACTTGATAACTAGGGTTTCTTTTAACGCTGGTCACAAAAAAGTGATCGGTTTACATCAACAGAGCTCGTCTTTATGCTAATTATTTTATTTTTACTTGGGGCAGTGGTGGCTTAGTGGTTGAGGAAGCGGACTTGGGTCCGAAAGGTTTCAGGTTCGAGTCCACCAGCTGCCAAGTTAGCACTGAGGTGCTCTGAGCATGGCACTGTCCCCACACACTGTTCCTCAGGCAGCTTAAAGCCAGATTTGGGTTAAAGTCACATTTGGTTGTGCAGTGGTGAACTGTGTCACAATGACAACGAGTTCACTTTCCTTTAACTCAAATATTCGTGACAAGCTTTGGTAAAAAAAAAAAAACATCTTAAGGATTGAGAACACATGGATTCTTTACACAGCAGTTTTACAGTCCTGTGCCTTTAGGATTGTACGGTATTGAGTTTACAGCATGCTCCGCCCACCCCTTCCCTTGGAGAAATACCTGTGGACATTGTCATGTAACCATGGAGATGGTTAAGCAGTCAGAGAGAAATGGCTGTCAGTTAGTGTATGCCATTCTGACAGGAATGGTAAACTAACAGGACACCTGACAACAAACTTTTAATTTAATTTTAAAATTCTTTTAAAAAAAATACACCAACAAATTCCTCTAGCCTTCAGCTAAGCTAAGATGATCGTGCCACGCAGCTCTGTGTCCTTTGAGTTTCAACACGGCACTAGCTCTATTTCTTGTGAAAATGGGGAAAAACAAGTTAAACTTGTTAAAGGACACGACACAAAAACTTCCGTGGAATTAGAAATATAACTCTGAAATGCACCCTATGTGTGTGTGGTTACTCTCTTCTCTGGCCTTTGTTTTTTTTAGGTAGGCCAGACTAATATCAGCCACATGTTGACACCCACTGGGAAGGTTTATGCAGAGGTCACCATCACCCAACTGACACCAGGAGAGTTTCTGCTCATCACAGGCTCGGGGTCAGAGCTGCATGACCTCAGGTAAAATGCATGGAACCTTTCACACATTGGTTTGTATTTACTGGGGCTGGGAGAATCAGTGTTTTATATTTTAAATGCAATATGCATTTAAAATTGAAGCACCAAACTGTGTGATCATGTGCTATAGATTCTGTGCTGTGTACTGACCTCTGGTGGTGACAATTTCTAACTACACAGAACAGCAACAAGGCAACAGAAAACCACCGGAATACAAGCTTGACAAAGGCTGTGGTCATCTGACAAAATAATACAAATGTATTTATTGATGCTAGAGTGATACGCTCTTCTAAACGGTTTTTTTCTTGTCCCAGGTGGATAGAGACAGAGGCGGTAGACGGTGGTTACGATGTGGACATTAGCAACGTGACAGACGACATCGGTGTGCTGGGTATCGCTGGACCAAACTCACGCAAAGTTCTTCAGAAACTGACAGAGGAGGACATGAGTGATGCAACCTTCAAGTTTCTCCAGTGCAAGTCCATCACGCTCGCTGGCGTTCCTGTCCGCGCCATCAGGATCTCCTACACTGGTAATCAGAGAATTCAACCTACGGCCAACATTTACTGATAATGACACTGAGTGTTCGATGATTGAAAATAATTTAGAAGACAGCAGTTTATCCACAAGAGCCATAACTACACTAATGAAATGTTGTTGAAGACGTCAGTGAACACAAAGAGAGGATGCTGTTTCACAAGTCAAACATAATGTATTAGGATACTGTGTTTTGTGTACATTTATATACATTCACGTCCAGGTGAGCTTGGCTGGGAGCTGTACATTGACCAGAAGAACATGGCTGCTGTGTACCAGGCCATGATGGAGGCAGGTAAAGATGAAGGCATCGACAACTTTGGTACCTACGCCATGTCCTCCCTCAGACTGGAGAAAGGCTTCAGAGGCTGGGGAGCTGAGGTTCACTCTCTCTCTTTTACTCTCTCACTCTCTCACACACACACGCAGAAAACATTGTGGTCCTCTGACTTTCCGACCTATCACTTTCTTACAGATGAACTGTGACACCAACCCCCTGGAGGCTGGGCTGGACTACTTCATCAAACTCAACAAGGTGAGCACTAATATGAAGAGTTTAACGTTGTACTGATGCAATTAGAACTCAATTATGAAATGCAGGAAAATTCATAGATACTTAGGAAAGAAAGTGAATGTTTATATGTATTTCTTTTTTGTATCTTTTAGTTTGTGAAATTATTAAAAGTTCAAATTTAACCTTTTGATGTTTATTCTTCAGTTCGACTGTCGCCCTCAGTGTATCGCTGGTTTTTGTGGTATATAAAAATTCATAAATGTTCTAATATTTTCATTATTTTTGTGATAAAACAAGCATTTTCTAGCCAAAGAAAAAAAACAGTAAAAACAAAAGTAAAAAAAACAAAATAACATTTTGTAACACATACATACAGGGTATTGCAAGAAATAACCTGTACGTATGAATAAACGAGATTTGTGAAAGTTTCGTTAATTTTTTGCTATATTTCACGCCCTACGATGTCTCATAAAGGGTTCGTAAAGGGTTAATATATATACGTAAATAAAACTATTGCGTCTCTTCACGTTCTTTTTGCCTATCGCGGGCAGTCTTGGAACATAACCCCCGCGATAGACGGGGAACCACTGTGTAGAAAAACACAAAATGTGCAAATGAAAAGTGAGAAGAAACAGTGTGCTTCATGTTTCTTATATGCATCTTGTTTGATGTGTGTGTGTGTATGTGCGTGTGTGTGTCCAGCCTGCTGACTTCATTGGTAAAGCAGCACTTCAGGAGATCAAAGCCAAAGGTCTGAAGAGGAAGTTGTCCTACATCACAGTGGACACGGACAACATTGACCCAGAGGGCAACGAGACTGTCTGGTGTAACGGCAAGGTGAGCACCGACCAAAGCACTCACTGGTGACCTCCATCAAAACGTCCTGCTGCAGACTCTTTCACCCAGCTGCTCTCCGATGTTTGTCTGTTGTGTTTCACCAGGTTGTCGGCAACACCACATCCGGAGCCTACAGCTACAGCAGCCAGCAAAGTCTGGCGTTTGCCTACCTGCCCCTGGAGCTGTGCTCTGTGGGGCAGAAGGTGGAGGTAGAACTGTTGGGAAGAAAATACCCAGCCATGGTCATCCAGGAGCCGTTAATGCTCACCGAGCCCACGAGGACCCGGCTGCAGAAGAAAGCAAAGAGCAAATCTTAATCCTGGACCACCTTCAAACTGTTTGCCACTGGCTGTGGAAGAAGGATCTTACTGTGAATTATTAATCAGCCTTAAATGAAGGGAGATGCTGTCAGGGAGAGATTTTTCTGTCTCCTGTGGAAGGATGAGCATCCAGAGAATCCATGGTCCCATCTAAGCAGTGAAGTATGACAACTGCTGAGGGATACATTTGATACACAGTGTCTTAAATGAAGAGCTGATGTCATTGTTTTTTTAATTTCATGGTTCAAGGCTCAACAACTGGACCATTTATGGAGGAAAATCATTAAAGTTTCCTAAAAATGTCCAAAACCCAAAGATCCTACTATAATGTCTTGCCGCTTTACTGTTGACAGAAACAGCTGTAAAAAGCATCTGGTTCAGAAGAGTTGTGTATACGAAGTTATGTTTGATAAAATATGTTCGGGCCTAAAATCATTCCTAGGATTTACTGACAAAAAAGTATTCAGAAAACATGCACTAGTTTTCCAGCCTGAACAAACCAAAAAAGTAGGGATGTCTGATAATATTGGCAGTAATTAATTGTTTGGACAATACCGGCATATCGGTAAAAAGGTAATATTGGACAGAAAGCCTGTACAATAACAGGTGGAGAGAAGCTGCAACATTGTCAGGTGACTGTCAACGCTTGAGCAACGCATGTCACACATCGCAGGTTTCACCATAACTGTCTGTCACTCAATAGAGTACGTTACACTATGTATATACAACCCACATCCACTAGAGGACAGTGCTGAGTTGAAAATTAAGTTTTGGGGTGATTTCGTTTTTCCTTTAGACGATACCAAATATGGCGACGGTGGCAATAAAAGTCCTGCTCAGAAAGGAGTCCAAACAGAGGCCGCGCAGGAGGCAGTGGAGGTTCGGTCACTCATAAATACAGTGCAGAGTACTGTTCTTTTTATGGCCGTATGTGAGCGGTCCCGCGTTGCACCGCCCCATGATTTCCAGTGGTACTGCTTCGTTTCATACGTTGGGATAAGTATCCGGAAACGTACCAAACAAACAGAATAAACATTAGTATGAAAAAAACCCAAAACAACTTTCATCATAACTAAAAACAATGTCGTGCTATTTGTTGAATAAATGTAGAAACAAATCCACATACACTAAGTTACTAAGTTAGTTGACACAAAGCTAAAGTAATCGGTCACTTCCCCATTTCTGTTATTTACATGTAAAATCAGTTGGTAGGAGTGGATGTTGGTTTCTGCCGTTTTTGAAGATTTTTTTTTTCCTGTTTCTGCTTTACAGTATTTAAAGGAAGTTCAATGTTCCTCCTTGAGGTTTGTCTGCACAGACTAGTCACACATCTCTACAGTAATGACAGTTCTATATTTTTTCTCTATTGAACTAAGTATCTAATATTTCTTTTTTCTAAAATAAATAAATAATTCAAAAGCAAAATTCAAACGTTTCTCATAACCAGAAGAGCTGCCAGGAACTCTGGCTCCTAGTTATCCAGTGTGCCATTAAAACCAGTTCGCAGTTAACCTGTTTAATGAATAATTACCTCAAATGTTAATTGAACAATTGTAACAATTGTATTATTTATCTGTCCCATCTTTCTTGAGATCCTAAAATAGAAGTTTCTGTCTGGTCAAAAAAACAAACAAACAAAAAAAATAGTTCACGCAACCTAGCACAGTCTTTTTCTTCTTTTGTTTTTACATTTATATAAAGCAACTAGCTTTCAGTTGCTAAAAAATACATTTGTTTCATATTTGATTGGTTTGTACAATAGGGGCAGGATTTTCAGATCATCTTCCTCAAGTTTGTCCTGTGGCTTCTGGATAATTGCACACTTTAGAGAAAATCTCTTGTCCACTGCAAAAGTGAACCAACTGGTCTTAGTTTCATGTTTGTCTCAAGCAATAATCGACAGGCTTTCTTTTCTCCCTCGGGGTGTGTGCTAGACGTCAGGGACATCTTTCTGACAAAGTCAATTTAAATCAATCAATAAAACAAAAAAAATATGTACCTTTGCTGCTCAGGGTGGAAGGTATAGCACTCCTGCCTTACTGCCACAATGTCTAAGGTTCAAACCTGGTCTGTAAATGGTGGTCTTAATGTGCGGAGGTAGGCTGTTTTCCCTCCTTAGGTTAATTGTTCACATAATGACTATAGATGTATAAATGAGAACAAATGATTGTTTGGTGAAAGTACCAGCTGCTGCCGCTCTGACAGGTCAGAATTAATTGAAAAGTCTTTGGGGAAGGTGTTAAAGACGTATATTGAATGATCAATTAATGGGTTCAATTATGTGAAAAAATATCTCCTGTTTTCTTTGACTATGTTGTTTGATGTTGATGAGTAAGAGCAGGAAAAAGCAAGTACACAAACAGTTAGATAAGCTCTTCGAAGAGAGAGAAAACAGACCCAGCTTTAGACAAAAGAGGCAGATGACAGACATGTAGAGAACCTGTCAGACAGGGAACATTTCAACCCGAGGGCTAAATTCTGTAGCTAAGAAAGCACCTCTTTACAAGTGTTAAACCTATGGACAGAAAACATAGATGTGATAAAAGACATTTAACTTCCCATTATGAAATCAAATCATATATAAGCTTGGATATATATTTATACGGCTCTTATGGACTCTCCTGTCATAAAGCCTCTCAGCACATGTAACAGAGACAGACTGGACCTACAAGAGCACGGACCACACCCCACAAAAAGAAAAAAATGCAGTTTTTAACCTGTGTACCTGTCAATCACAAAGCCCTTCAATGTTTTGAACAGTATCTCATGTACACATGCTCTGGACTAGTTTCTAAAGAGGGACAAAACTGCACAGACAGTTGGAATGGCTGTTCGACTCCTTCTGCCTGTTGTCTTTCTCGTCTCTGTCCCTCTGGTTAAAGCTGCTCCGCAGCCAAACATCGTCTTTATCATGGCTGATGACTATGGCTGGCACGATATTGGATACCACCGCTCAGAGATCCACACTCCTCACCTGGACGAGTTGTCAGCCAGCGGGGTTCGTCTGGAGAGCTACTACGTTCAACCAATCTGCACCCCCTCCAGGAACCAGCTCATGACCGGCAGGTACCAGGTGAGAGTCACTGCCTGTTGCCTAGTTCTGGAAAATGGATTGTAATTCTGAAAGTAAATAGAATAGTATTTCCTTCAGAATGTATTATTTCAATTTAATATAACTGAATGTGATTTTACCTATCCAGAAAACACAAACTTGTGAAAAGTGTATTCATGAGAAATTTAGAAGTTACACAAAATACCTCAGGGTGCATCAAGTTTTGCATAAGGGTGAATTGATCCCATTAGAGGAGTGACAACAATCAAATCCATCAATCCATTGCTTTTAATTTAATTAATAATGACAACAAGAATGAATAATATGAATAATGTATTATTATATTATTATTACTGTTGTTATTATATTATCGTTTTATTATTTCTACAGAAGCACATTATTTTTCTCTCCCAGATCCACACAGGCATGCAGCACCACACCATCTGGCCCTGTCAGCCATACTGTGTTCCTCTGGAGGAGAAGCTCCTGCCTCAGTACCTGAAGGAGGCAGGATACAGTACTCACATGGTGGGGAAGTGGCACCTGGGCATGTACAAGAAGGACTGTCTGCCCACCCGCCGGGGATTTGATTCATTCTTTGGTTTGTGTGCTTTTGTATAAACATTTTTTTTAGTGAATTTTCATAATGTCAATGTATTGCTTTGTTTCATCCAGCAACTCTATCTGCTTCACATGAGTTGATGTCCTCACATCGGAGTTATCTTTACTGTTGTCCTCTATTTTTAACCAGCTGAGGTGTTGAAGTCAGAGAGTCTTAAGACCAATTGGCAGATTACACTTATATGATTAAAAAACGTGAAATGAAGTTTGTGAAAAGGAAAAAAAAGAATCAGATTTGACTGGGTAAAAAACAACCCTTCAATAATAAGTTAAAGTTTGGACTACACTACTATATATTCTTTAAAAAGAGTGCAATTGTAAATGTGTAAAAAATCTAATCAAATATAACATAACACCTGACAAAGGTATAATGACAAAACTGGTCAGACACAATGTCCTGTCCAGGTCACACTATTATTTAAGCAGGAAATAACTTGTACTTATAATGGCTGATGTTTACTTTATGTCAACTGTTTGTAAAGAGAAGGTGTAGAGAGGTAACAAGCAGACAGGTGAGAAGTGAAGAAGGTGAAAACCCGAGCAGACGAAGATCGTAATATGGATGTGCTAATATAATTTTTTGTTAAAATTTGCAATTATCAGGACTGGCAGAAAAGTATGCGATTGTGGTGCAGGACCTGTCAGTTAGACAGTGATTACTTTGGGTATATGGTAGGGCATTGATGACCTCCAGGCTCCTCCAAGTTGACTTGTGTCGCTTATGTCAAAGTGTTGATTAAACAGTTTTTCTGTCACAGCCCTAGTGTCAACATGGATGAGACATACGGGTTTACATCAGACTAACAGGTTGACAGATAAGGCAGGTTGACAGCAGGAGGATCCATGGATTATGATGTTTGCAGATGACATTGAAATGTGTAGTGAGAGTAGGGAGCAGGTGGAAGAAAACCTTATGCCTCTTTTTCCTATCTTTGTCATATCATTTTTCCAGGTTAAAAGGCCTGCTTAAGGTGGTGTTGACAAACTGGATTTGAACAAGTAAATCCTGATATCAAATAGTGGAACTCCAAATTTTCTGCATCAGAAATCAAGTTGTGGCGCTTTGGCCCAGAGGCAGTGTCTCTGTCAGTGGTGTGGAACCCCAGGGTTCACCTCCTGGGCAAGTTCGAATCCCAGTTAGGGCAGTTGGTACCTTCCAGTGGCCTCACCACCCACAGGAAGGTTCAGGGGTGTTGGTACAGTGCAATGTGATTTGGGTGGTGGTCGTGGAGACTGCTGCCCCCGCGAATTGGTAACGGATAAGCAGATGAAAATGGATGGATGGATGGGAAATCAAGTTAACCTCCTAAACATTGACCTTTCCTCCTGCAGGATTCCTGACAGCCTACAAAGATTACTACTCCCACATACGCTGTCACTACATTACTGCTCTGAAAAAGTATCCCTGTGTCATGGACCTGATGGATGGAGAAGAATTTGTCCCCCATTACTATGGAGCTTATTCCACTCAGCTGTTTGCCCAAAAGTCAATCAGCGTCATAGAAAAACACGACTCTGACAAGGTGACAGACACATGTTACACAACACAAGACAACAGGACTCTTATTCAAACACAGTGGGCTAGGGTTAGGGTTAGATTCTTACAAACTATCTATCGCTTTGTATCTATCTAACATCCATCCATCTATCTATCTAACATCCATCCATCCATCCATCCATCTATCTATCTATATGTGTATCTATATGTGTATTTATATGTTTCTATCCCTTCTTTATTTCTTTCCTTCAGCCACTCTTCCTCTACCTAGCACTGCAGGCTGTTCACGGGCCCCTCCAAGTACCAGAGCACTACACAGAACCCTACAGTTTTATCAGCGATCCCAGTCGTAGGATCTATGCTGGGATGGTGTCGGCCATGGATGAGGCCGTGGGCAGCGTCACCATGGCTCTGCACAGGACGGGACTTTGGAACAACACAGTGCTGGTGTTTACAACTGGTGTGTTTCTGAGGTTTCAAAATAATCGCTTTCTTGACCCATACACAGCAACATATTGAAGTGCCATAGTTACTGTGGATTAGAGATCCGTTCTGTGATATTGTTTTACCCTTTCATGTAGAATAGTTTATATTCTCGATAGGGAAGTTTGAAATTAACTTTTTCCCATTATCTGATATGCCGATATTGTCCAAACACCTAACTTCCGATTCCGATATCAACTGGTACCGATATAGACCTGGTAGTATTTATTTGTTTATCTGTACAAATCGCTTTATGAGTTGCTGGCACCAGCATTCTGCATATGATCCCCTGATTATTAAAATAAACTCATGAAATGAGCTGCAATGCTGCCATCTAGTGAATTTCACTTTAACATACAGCTGTTTAGCCCCAAAACTACTTTTGGGCAGACATCATTTGGTGAAGCCCCGGCATTGTGTTATCAGGTTTTCATTATTGGATGAAAAACCGATAACAATTCTTACAGATTGTACATAATTATGCTAATATCGGTCAACTGAGTTTCCGCGTTTGTGCAGTTTCTCATGGTAACCATAGTCATCGTCAGTATTAATCAGTCAATTCCTCACAAACCATATGACAGTTGTGTGGGTCACCTGGTCAGTCTCCATGGAGGAGATTATGTTTTAAACTCCCTCAGTGTGTGTGTGTGTGTGTTTATCAACTATGTATAAGAGTAACAATAGGTGAATGGACAGTAGACATTTTGGATATGCAGTCCAGTTGTTCTGCCATTCATTAAAATGTTTTCACATTTTTAATCCGATTAATCTTCTGAAATTAGATTCCATATTTTCACTCATGTACAGTGTCTGTCACAGTGTCTTCCCTGGTTCCGCCTCTCACATGGTTGTTTTCCTACTCTGTCGTTGGTTGTCAGATAATGGAGGTCAGACCTTTTCTGGTGGCAGCAACTGGCCTCTCCGTGGCAGGAAGGGAACACTGTGGGAGGGTGGAGTCAGAGGAGTTGGATTTGTCGTCAGCCCACTCCTGAAAAAACCGAGAACTGTCAGCCATGAACTAATGCACATCTCCGATTGGCTGCCTACATTTATTGAACTGGCAGGAGGGAATTCCCAACCCCCCAGACTCCTGGATGGATTCAACATGTGGCCCACAATCAGGTGAGGTGTAGGTGAGAGTAATGTATGATGTAATTTCAATTTACTTGTGATAATTTAACGTATTGGTAGCTACAGTAGGCCTGTGTCCTGCAGTAGATTACAGATCACTCATTTGTTACACAATATTAATATCTATCTATCTATCAGTCTCTGTCTGTCTGTCTGTCTATCTATATATCTATCATCCATCCATCCATCGTCCATCCGTCCGTCTGTCTATATTGATCTATTTCTCCTCATCTCTCCTTTATCTCTTCCACTCTTTCTTACCTTCTTTCTCTTCTCTTATTCTTTTCCCTCTTCCTCTCCTTTCTTCCCTTTGCTCCTTCCCTTCCATCCTTTCCCTTTTCTTGTTCTTTTCTCTTTCTGTCAAACTTTTCCAAATTCTATCATTTATTTATATTATTATACTTCTGCCTTTCCTCTGCAGTACCCCTGTTTGCCCACTAGATGGCGTGGAAAATAATTCAAACATTGTTAGCCTTTATGCATGTATTTTACATGTCATTTATCTTGGTTCACACTAACACTCCATATCTCTGCTCCTGACCCCGCCCCCTGTTCAATTTTAGGACAATGGTGGCCCACGAGTCAAAACATTTGCCTACGCCTGGCATAGGGCAATCACTGTTGCCTGCATTGTGTAACTTTTTTTTTTTACCTAGTGATGGAGTTGCTTCTCCAAGACAGGAGCTCCTGCACAACATCAACCCTCTCCATAAGACTAATTTGCCATGTAAGTGAACTACAGTTGATCAGGCTCTGAGGACACGTTGACGTCTCAGCTCGTTTGTTAAGTACTGGTCCACACTGAGTAGAGTTCCTGCCCTCTGCAGGTCCTGGCAGGTACTCTTCCAGGACTTTGGACGAGGAGTACAATGTAGACCTCTGGACCAACTCTGGCTTTAATGTGTCCTTTCGAGCTGCCATTCGATTCTCCAAGTGGAAGCTGCTGACTGGTGACCCAGGTCAGTGTCTTTGGCCAACACACACACACACACACCTAAGATAAACGCTACACCAGTAGCTGATTGTGGAGTAATTATAGCATCAGTCCATCAAATAACCACTATGAATAATAAATGAAAGAGGCGTTAACACACCGGGAAATATAATTATTTTGTAAATAGTTTTTTGACCAAGTCTCCCCTAAAAATACTTCTACTTTTAGAATATCCATTTCACATAGCACGATATCCAAAAACCATGGACATCGTGCTATGTGACAGCTGTCTACAGTTCATCACCCAGGCTAATGTAGCTGATGCTGTCTTCCCCGTAGATATCCTATAGAGGCAGCACCATCTGATTATTTTCTTTTTCCAAACTAAACTTGAAAGAATATGTTAACTTCAATTGATTCTTGACCTTTTTGACTTATCCATATATTTCTGCTTCTTCTATTTTAACTAAGGCTAAAAAGATTGTACACAACTTTAGACTTTTGAGTGATGAAAATGTCACTTCTACTGATAATATCTGTATGTGAATGGTTGAGTGTGTTTGTGTGTTTCGCCAATACCTCCAGGATGTGACCACTGGTTCCATCGTCCAGGGTTCTATAACTCCATATTCTACAGGGAGCCCCTGAGGCCTGTAATGCTGTTTGACATACCTAATGATCCAGAAGAAAGGAACGACCTAGCGGACAAGTATCCCAGTGTGGTAGCTTTTCTCCTCAGGAGACTTGAATACTATCAGAAAACTGCCTTGCCAGTGAATTTCCCAGAAGAGGACTCTAGGTGTGACCCACAGGACAGTGGAGCCTGGGGACCCTGGGCTTAGACGGACACCACAGTGGTGAAGGTGGTAATGAATGTGGACTGCTGTTGACGCTGCTTCAAAAAAATGTTTAAAATGTAACTATGTCTTTCTAAATGATTTTTGATACACATGATCATCTCTTGTTTGTGGGTTCACACACACACAGGCTACATTTCACAGTAGTGGTAGGCAGATCACTCCATGACTCCCTACGACGACTGCGCGAATACAAGAATATTTGCATAAAACACACACACACACATACATATATACTTTGTGACATTTGTTGTAGAACAGTTTGTTTATTTGTTGTACTTTAATAATTATATTTACTTTGTACACTGTATTTCAACACCCCCCCCCCCCCCATCAGATCCACACAGGGATACAGCATTCCATCATCTGGAAGACAAAATACAAAGTTGGCATTAGGATGATCTTATTTCAATTTTTGATCCATGTCGGCAACATGCCAACATTTAGCACATCTCTAAAGTGGCATTTTCACATTACTACCTCAACAAAATTGTTCAAATCTCATATTTTCTTTTCTTTGAAGACCTTAATAAATATAAGTGATGCGCTTATTATCTGCTGTGGTTTCATCATCAGACATTAAAAAAAATCATAAAAAAAAACCAAAATAAAATATTTTGGTTTTTTTTTTTATGATTTTTTTGGTCGAAGTCGCTTGTGGTTGCTTCAGTTCTCTTTTTCTAAGCACAACAAACAAGTGATTTCCGTGTGCACTTCATGTGAGGTACATGAAAGCATAGTAACACACACTCATTATGGTCTCAAATTCACAGTCCTACTAAACCAGCCACGGTGACACACAGTGGCTAAAAGAGATTTTAGAGATTTTACTTTACCAAGCTTACAGTCAGATACAAAGATATGTTAAGTATCCGTCACTGTCATACCTGCTGCGGCGCTGCAATCAAGCGATTGGTTCCACCTGAGCTCACCGGCTGTCGCCGATGAGTGGGCAGTGTATTTAAGCTGCAGCCACATCGTCTTGTCTGTTCACCGAGGCTGCACGTTCTCGTTCCAGTTGTGGAAATTCCCTGCAGTCCTAGACTTATCTGTCCTGACGGTCCACGGCCAGTCTCACCGGCTCTGTGGACGAGATTCCTCTCGCCGTTTTTGAGGAGACTTCCTGCAGTTTTCGGCTCAGCCTTTCCGCTCCTGATTTGGCTCGGCTGTCCAGAGGGAATCCGCCGCGGTGACGTCACTCTCCCTTCAGCCTTTGGATCTCTACTGTAGACGGAGATCACGTTTGTCAAGAAACTGTTTGCTCCAAGCGGAGACTCCCTTTGTTCAAGGACTTTTCCATTAGCAAGACGCCTGTTTAGATTCCACGTTCATTTGAGAGACTTCCTTTTATTTCAAGTGGAGATTCCTTTGTTGAAAGACTCCTTCAGTATAAGAGGTGCTCGTACAGTATTTGTACCTGCTGATCCAGCAATAAACCAGTAGTTCCCCTGAGCATAATTACATTTCATTATATTATATTTCATTGATATTCAAATGGTTAGTCTTTCAGATATTTAAATTGTTGATCCATTAAAGCAGGACTGGAGGTTCAATGTTCATTCTTTGACAAAATCACCTCCTTGGTCAAAGAAAACAAAACTAAAGAACACCTTTACCTAACGATGTCATAAATTTCGATTTTTAATTTCTTCTAAATAGAAACTAGTCAAAAATATTACTGTTACTCGTCTTTTTGAATCAGTTCCACTGTGCAGTGATATTCAAATGGTTGCAATGACGATGGTAAGGAGAGTGTACACAAATAAGAAGCTACATAAAGTACTTAACAGTTAAAAATATACATGAAAATATTCTGGTGTGCAGAAGCAGCAATGGTAAAAGACAGATTGCCGTGGACATGCTCTATAAGTGGTCGTCTGATAGGCTGTGGGCAAAAAAAAGAAAATGGTACATAAAATAAATATTTATGTCTTCCACTGATCTGTGTTAAATATACATTTTCAGTATTACTCTACACATTTTTGACATTTTATTAAGTAAAAATCGCAAATCCCAGGTGACTGATGACTGCGCGATCCAATACAAACTGGGTCACATGACGCGGACCGGTCAATATGCTTGAGCCAATAAAGTGTAGAGAAAAGTCAGCGGCGAGGCTAACAGTACTCTGTCTCACTTCAAGAGGTCGTACGTGAACTGACAGGTGCTCTCCAGCTGACGTCGACAGGCAATTAAAAGTCGGCGCCATGTTAGAGCCAGAAGTAGGGGAAGAAAAGTGTTTTCTATCCTCTGCCTGCACCGACTCACTATGGATTGTATTTCAAGACGGAAACTTTTCTCAAAGCTGGACTTCCGGTCCAAACAGAAGGTGATAAGTGATGGAAGACTGAGCTAAATGGTTGGCTTCAAACTACGGGACAGAAGATTCGTTCTTTTTAAATGTACTGGTACAAACGAAAAGACTCGCTGTGTGGATGTCCTGCAAGAAACCGCCATTACTGTTTTCTTTGTCTTTTATTCTCATCGTGTGATAACGTCTGGACTAACTCGGGATACTGTGACCTGAAACATTTACAAAGAAGCTTCAGCAGACATGAAAAATCAGCCACGCACATTCAAAGCCAGATATTTTTTTAACTTTTGGAAATTCAAGGATCGATTTGGCATTGGACGAGAAACGGAGACTAAACATTAGCGTTCAACCGTCCACAATGCTAAGATGAGGGGAAACCGAGAGATACAACCACGGACTTCATCTATAAGTAAAGGTAAGACTAAAAATGGTTTTAAGTTTTTGTTTTTTGTTTTAAATAAGTTGGGAGTAAATAGAAAAAAATCTGGTATTTCTAGTCTAGTATTTGTGCCCACGAGATGGGTGGTCCCTCTCTATCGCGGTTCTACTTTCGCTTCCTCAGTACATCGCGGATTTTTTTAAATCCAATCTCGCGACATTAAAAATGTTGAATTTTAAAATTGTATTTAATTTGAATATCCAGTCGCAATGGCAGTGAGATACATTTATACAGTTGGGCTTCAAGATACGAGTTCCCCGAAATACCAGTTATTGTAGTTAACCCAGGAGACTCTGCTAGTGCCCGCTCCATTTTGCCCAAATTGTTATGTACCGACCTCTGGTGGTGAAAATAATGAACAACAAAATAATAATAGAGCGTATATTGGAAACGAACACTTTTAAATACGTATCATACATAGATTGTGATGAATAAATTATATCGTATTCCATTCACGTGTTACTTAAATAGTTGTATGGTCTTTTTAGTGAGTTAATTTCATTCTCAGGTGTACGATAATCCTCGTATTTCAACGATAATGTTGTCCTCTGCAACATCAATAATTCAAAAAAGGCCACTGTTTGTGTGAATGTGTGTGTGTGTGTGGGGGGGTTCAGCCAATTTGTTTCAGAACAAATTTGGCAGAACACATTTGGCTCCACAGTCAGCTAAGACCGCCCCAGGACACGGCGCGGTTTCGTCATAAGTTGAGGGATATTTAAAACATAAGCTGGAAAAACATGTTCTGCTGAAAGAGACGTTATGGCCGTAATACAGCATTCATTGGTTGGTGTTATTTTTAAGGGGAATGGAGAATTAATGTTAGATAATGCCAGTTAGCATCGCATGGTAACTAAAGTGACCATGCGTGTATATAGCGTACCCGCCGGCTTGTTATTTTGGTCTTGACAAATGAACAATTGACTTGGACGGTAACAATACAGAGCCCATTTGACAGCACTGCAGCTGATGTGGGCCAAACTAGACACTTTAGTGGAAAAATAACGACAATAATTTAAAATAATTTAGATCAACGCTGCAGCTGCTCGTATGCCATGAAGCGGCAACAGATTGGAGATACTTCAGGATGACAAAATAAAAAACAAAAACAGTCAGCTGATGCGCGTCCGCGTGAGACGTCCCGTTCCCCGCACTTCCTGTGAACCTTTGAACAGCTCGCTTTCTTTCAATGTGTATGAGCAGAGATGGCTGTTGGGTTTGTTGTTGTCTTTCTCGTCTCTGTCCCTCTGGTTAAAGCTGCTCCGCAGCCAAACATCGTCTTTATCATGGCTGATGACTACGGCTGGCACGATATTGGATACCACGGCTCAGAGATCCACACTCCTCACCTGGACAAGTTGTCAGCCAGCGGGGTTCGTCTGGAGAGATACTACATCCAACCAATCTGCACCCCCTCCAGGAACCAGCTCATGACCGGCAGGTACCAGGTGAGAGGGATGGGTATATAAAAAATTGTTGCGAATAATAATTCGGGGGAAAAACAGGTTCTGTAAACTAGCAGACGCTGAATCAAGATTATGTAATGCTTTCATTTTAGGTGTGTTCAGTGTCACTTACAGCAGTTACTAACGTCACTTCTGTGTGTAGAACTTACAACCTGTGAATCCAGTCTCCACAAATGTAATCCATAAGAAGAGCTATAAATAATAATGTCTTCTGTCTAAATACTCTAAACACAATTACAGTAAATAAAAATATGTAAAAATAAAACTACTAAAGAAGTCCTTTAAAAAATATACACTGGATTTTCTTTTAAGGAAATGTTTAATGCCAGCTCTATTTTCCCACTAATATGTTATTATATCAGACATTTGTTTACTCTGTTCTCCACACGCAAACGTGTTTGTTCCTTGTATGCTTTGTGTGTCTCTTGTGTTTGTTTTCTTTCGCAGATCCACACAGGGATGCAACATTCGATCATCTTGCCCTGTCAGCCATACTGTGTTCCTCTGGAGGAGAAGCTCCTGCCTCAGTACCTGAAGGAGGCAGGATACAGTACTCACATGGTGGGGAAGTGGCACCTGGGCATGTACAAGAAGGACTGTCTGCCCACCCGCCGGGGATTTGATACGTACTTTGGTTCGTACCTAGTACTGTATAATCCCTCTATTTAATCAGCTCTTAGTGGGACACAGCTCCTAGAACGTTCTAATTTTTCAGTCATTTTAAACAAGTCCATGAATGGTCAGTCTGCGGATTCCTGAATTTGTCATTGTGTCCATGAATGGTCTGTCTGCGGATTCCTGAATTTGTCATTGTCAGAAGCAAAGCAAAGATTTTTTTTTTCGTTCTTTTTTATATATCTTTTCATTTATGGTAGTTTATGGTATTTTCAGTCAACTGCAAGACAGTTTTTCTGAGGTAATCACAATGACAGCTAACGTAGGTTCACCATGCTAGCTTGCTGATCAACTCAAATTAAAATTGTACCCAGCGACACTCCAAATGGGGATGCATCAGGATTATTCAGTTTGTGGCGAGTCCACTTGAGTCCACATGATACGAGTGTAATTCAAAAGTCTTCCATTGGACAATTCCTTGGTCCCAGATTTTTAGGTGATGTTGTCGCTCCAGTGTACAACCAGCTTCTTTGCCTCGTCTAAGGACTGACATTTAATAACTTTCCAATGTTCCACCACCTTATGTCATCAACTTGTCATTTACATAGTGCTTAGAACACTGGATCATAACAAGAGCCAGTTTATCAAACATGTAAGCCCAGTTGTCTGATCCTGTTCCTTCAACTGAAAGAAAAACAAAACATTGTTATTGAGAAACAAAGGAATGACGATTTATACTGTATATTTATATTGTCATTATCCTGAGATACACTGATGTACATAATGCAATGTAACAGAATAGAGAATAAATATTAGTGATGTACTGAAATTAAAATTGTCTAAAAGAGAAATAAAATCAACTTATAGTCACAATGGAAGTCAGAACAGAATAGCCCACCTATTATATATTATTATTATTATTACGGCTCAAGTACAGTCCCAGTGAGTACAGGGGATCTGAATAGAGCTCAGTGAAATGTGTGCTGACAGACTCTGAGTGGACATCGAAAATGTCCGATGGTTGAAAATTCGGTGCATCCCTAATAAATATAATTGACCATACACAGGAGATCTTAAACAATAAGATGCTGCTTAAACCTGGTACCAACATTTGTTTAGATTTTGATGGTGGAACAACCTTAAATAAATCCAACTACGGCTTTTCAAAGTAAAGGTCAAATAGCCCCAAAACCCCCTTTGAACTGTTGTCCTGCTGCATTAACCATGAAATACACACCATATATTTGAACTTGTTTCTTTCTGCAGGCTACCTGTTGGGTTCTGAGGATTATTACGCACATACCCGCTGCTACCATAACGTTACACATACATCCTGTGCCCTGGACTTTAGGGACGGAGAAGAGGTGGCTAGTGAATACAAAGGACAATATTCAGCTGAGATTTTCAGCCAGAAAGCCGTCAGCCTTATTGAGAAACAAGACCATAACAAGGTGACACACTTACTGTTTCCCAGAACACAGCAGGCTCAGGTGTACTGATTACTCAGTGTACAGTGTCGGTATCGGTAGTCCAGGATTGGTGTAAGTTTGTGCACAAATTTGTGCCTCGCCCAAGAAACAGCATTGGAAGTATGGATTCTATCCCAGAATCCTTCAGGCTTGATTTCTTAGATAACTGGTTCAAGGAGTGCCGTTATTCAAATAGTCACACCATCTTGAATTCTTGTCAGATTTCCACAGATGTGTTAGATGTATTTGGTAAAGCTTAGAGCAGAGGGCACCTGGTCGCCCCCGCAGACTACCTAAGGTGCCTGCAGGGCATGTTCTAAAAATAGAACTAATCATCAAGATCATCAAAAATTGTACTGTTACTGTGCTTTTTGAATCAGTTACACTTGCAATGATATTTAAATGGGTGCAATGACGATGGTAAGAAGAGCG